AGAGAAATTAAAACAACGTGATAAGGAATAGAAATTGTCTGTTGGAAGAAAAGATTTGAAATAAATTACAGATGTTTTAAGAAAATTAAAAGATCATGAGATCAATTCCAAATACTTTTCCTCTTAAGAAAATGAAGAATCAACATTAAGTCTACTTAAAAGCATCAAGGGTAATAGTACGATCATGGAATTTTTGTAATTTTTAGTTCACCTCACATCCATTGATGAAACTATAATATAGGGTGGTTCTAATTCATTACATTTATTAGTTTAGATGAAGGTTGACCTAAGAAACAAAAACTTTGAAAATATTTAAATCTAAAATACTTCTTTAGTAGGAGCTAATTTTGTTAAGTGTAATTTTAGTGGTTCCTAATTTAATAATGTTAACATAAGTGGAGTAAATTTGAATGGAGCATTATTATTTAATTGTAGATGGATAAACTTAAGAATTCCTGAATTAAATAAAATAGATGGTCACGGAGGTTCAGTCTACTCAGTTTGTTTTTCTCCTGATGGTAATACATTAGCTTCTGGTAGTTATGATAAGTCTATCCGTCTATGGGATGTCAAAACAGGATAATAAAAAGCCAAATTGGATGGTCATACTAGTACTGTTAACTCAGTCTGTTTCTCTCCTGATGGAAATACATTAGCTACTGGTAGTTATGATAACTCAATCCGTCTCTGGGATGTCAAAACAGAATAATAAAAAGCCAAATTGGATGGTCATACTAGTATTGTTAACTCAGTCTGTTTTTCTCCTGATGGAAATACATTAGCTTCTTGTAGTAGTGATAAGTCTATCCGTTTTTGGGATGTTAAAACAGGATAATAAAAAGCCAAATTGGATGGTCATAGTGATACTATTAACTCAGTTTGTTTCTCTCCTGATGGAAATACATTAGCTTCTGGTAGTGAAGATTAGTCTATCCGTCTATGGGATGTTTAAACTTCAAAATAAAAAACCAAATTAGATAGTCATACGAGTACTGTTTACTCGGTCTGTTTTTCTCCTGATGGAAATACATTAGCTTGTGGTAGTGATGATAAGTCTATCTGTCTATGGGATGTCAAAACAGGATAATAAAAAGCTAAATTGGATGGTCATACTCATTATGTTATGTCAGTCTGTTTCTCTCCTGATGGAAATACATTAGCTTCTGGTAGTTATGATAAATCTATCCGTCTCTGGGATGTCTAAACTGGATAATAACAGGCTAAATTGGATGATCATACTAGTATTGTCTACTCAGTCTGTTTCTCTCCTGATGGAAATACATTAGCTTGTGGCAGGGAAGATAGGTCTATCTGTCTATGGGATGTCAAAACTGGATAATAACAGGCTAAATTGGATGATCATACTAGTATTGTCTACTCAGTCTGTTTCTCTCCTGATGGAAATACATTAGCTTCTGGTAGTGATGATAAGTCTATCCGTCTATGGGATGTCAAAACAGGATAATAAAAAGCCAAATTAGATGGTCATACTAGTACTGTCTACTCAGTCTGTTTCTCTCCTGATGGAAATACATTAGCTTCTGGTAGTGATGATAAGTCTATCCGTCTATGGGATGTCAAAACAGGATAATAAAAAGCCAAATTAGATGGTCATACTAGTACTGTCTACTCAGTCTGTTTCTCTCCTGATGGAAATACATTAGCTTCTGGTAGTGATGATAAGTCTATCCGTCTATGGGATGTCAAAACAGGATAATAAAAAGCCAAATTAGATGGTCATACTAGTACTGTCTACTCAGTCTGTTTCTCTCCTGATGGAAATACATTAGCTTCTGGTAGTGATGATAAGTCTATCCGTCTATGGGATGTCAAAACAGGATAATAAAAAGCCAAATTAGATGGTCATACTAGTACTGTCTACTCAGTCTGTTTCTCTCCTGATGGAAATACATTAGCTTCTGGTAGTGATGATAAGTCTATCCGTCTATGGGATGTCAAAACAGGATAATAAAAAGCCAAATTAGATGGTCATACTAGTACTGTCTACTCAGTCTGTTTCTCTCCTGATGGAAATACATTAGCTTCTGGTAGTGATGATAAGTCTATCCGTCTATGGGATGTCAAAACAGGATAATAAAAAGCCAAATTAGATGGTCATACTCATAATGTCTACTCAGTCTGTTTCTCTCCTGATGGAAATACATTAGCTTCTGGTAGTGATGATAAGTCTATCCGTCTATGGGATGTCAAAACAGGATAATAAAAAGCCAAATTAGATGGTCATACTCATTATGTCTAGTCAGTCTGTTTCTCTCCTGATGGAAATACATTAGCTTCTGGTAGTTATGATAACTCAATCTGTCTCTGGGATGTCTAAACAGGATCATAAAAAGTCAAATTAGATGGCCATCATGGTTATGTTATGTCTGTCTGTTTCTCAGCTGATGGAAATAAATTAGCCTCTGGTAGTTATGATAACTCTATCCTTCTCTGGGATGTCAAAACAGGATAATAAAAAGTCAAATTAGATGGCCATCATGGTTATGTTATGTCTGTCTGTTTCTCAGCTGATGGAAATAAATTAGCTTCTGGTAGTAATGATAACTCTATCCGTCTCTGGGATATCTAAACAGGATAATAAAAAGCCAAATTAGATGGTCATAGTCATACTGTCTACTCAATCTGTTTCTCTCCTGATGGAAATACATTAGCTTCTGGTAGTTATGATAACTCAATCTGTCTCTGGGATGTCTAAACAGGATCATAAAAAGTCAAATTAGATGGCCATCATGGTTATGTTATGTCTGTCTGTTTCTCAGCTGATGGAAATAAATTAGCCTCTGGTAGTTATGATAACTCTATCCTTCTCTGGGATGTCAAAACAGGATAATAAAAAGTCAAATTAGATGGCCATCATGGTTATGTTATGTCTGTCTGTTTCTCAGCTGATGGAAATAAATTAGCTTCTGGTAGTAATGATAACTCTATCCGTCTCTGGGATATCTAAACAGGATAATAAAAAGCCAAATTAGATGGTCATAGTCATACTGTCTACTCAATCTGTTTCTCTCCTGATGGAAATACATTAGCTTCTGGTAGTTATGATAACTCTATCCGTCTCTGGGATGTCTAAACAGGATAATAAAAAGCCAAATTAGATGGACATAGAGGATATGTATTAACAGTCTATTTTTCAGCTAATGGAGATAAAT